TTATAGATGGCCAGATAGTAGTCACTTTTTATCTTCCTCCAACCAATCATGTCAACCCTATAGTAAACTTATATCAACCGGATATGTAAATATAATATATATAGTATAGATAATAGGTAGATTATAAAAATGTATATTATTGTAAAAAAAATTTTAATATGATGCAAATATAAAGAGCTATATGTAACGAATGTATTCTCATAATAATAAAATGAGATGTATGTGAATATTGAAAATAATAACGTAAAATTTGAGTAGTTTAGATTTCTGTATATATTTTTACAAATATTTTAAGATAAGTGGATGTAAGTTTAATATTTTTCTTTTATTACTTACTTGTGTTTTCAATCCAAAACAATATATAAGTAAATTAAATTAGGGTTATTTTAGACGTTATACATTGACATTTGTTCATGAAGTTGAAAAATCTACTATTCTCTTAGTTTTAATTTGATGCTCTTCAAACAATGAGTAGCATAATTTTTTTTACATTATTAATTTCAATTGAAGATGAACTACCATAAAAGTTAGAAAAAAAGTACTCTAACAACTTCAACTTATATCTTGTATCTAAAATAACAAAAATATTATTATACTAATTAATATATATTTATATATATATATAACTGTGGGGTTGGGTGGGCAGGTTGGGTACCATAGTACCCGTATCCACACTCGTACCCACTAAATTTTGCGGGTCTATACTCACCCTGTACTCATCTCTATATAAGCGAGTATTTATCTATCCTACATGCGAGTGGTTTTTGTGAGTGCCCGTGGGGTCCAGGTCCATTTTGTCATCCCTAAATTTTATACACAAAGAATGAAAAATAGAAAGAAGTTGTTCTTCTTAGTGTCTCTCTTCTTTTTGTGTTCTTTAAGCTCTTTTATATTGGTAATTGGTGAAGATGATCATTACAAATCATTAACCTTCACTCGTCAACTTGTTTCATCTTCCTTCCTTGTAGAGTAAGATGTTATATGTGCATTAAATGTTTTTCACCAAATGGTTAGATGAAGGAGAAAATGTGTGTCAGTCAAAAATGACATTTTAGATGACTTTACGTACTTCAAAATATTTATTTGTCCTTTCTCTAGCAAAAAGCAAGTCCTTATTCCTTTATGAAGTTCAAGTACCAATGAAGTTTTTTCCCTTCGATCCGAAATAAATGTTATGATCATCAGACATAATAAATACAATATTTAATACATTCTTATTAGATAGAAGAAGTGTTCCGTATTAAAGACTTGTAAAAAAATTATCATCATGAAGAATTGTCTTATGTTCTTTTGTCAAAAATGTCTTAGTTTATCATTATTAAAATATATTTATAAAAGATTCAAGATCGTCTATTGATATAATATTATAATATTTTGTAACTAAAATAATTATATTTGTCTTGTTTAATGCCATGATTTCAAGCAAATCAAACAAATTCATTCTTTCTAAAAGATACCTTAATGTTGATTAAAAAAACAAAATCATGAAAGAGAGAGAATCATTATTAAATACTCCAAAATTTATAAATTTTAAATAATAATAATTAGAGATGTTTAAAAAAAGTGTGTTCTTAACATTTCTTCAAGAAAAATATTTAGGAACTAGTGTGTTCCAAACTAAAGACCTGCTTGGATAAAATTATTTATAAGTACTTAAAAAAATAAAAATAAAAAATAAAAAGATTTTTTCAAAAGATAAAATTAACTTATGTATAATAATTTATAGAAAGTTTCTTATATTTTATTCTTCAAATTATAATTTTTTTAACTCATGAAATTTAATTTTAACTTATGAATAAACTTATTTTATTTTTCTTATTTTTTATAAGTTTTCACACATAAATTATCTAAGCAAATCTCATAAAGGAATACTTTAGATTGAGGACCATGTTAATCAAAAAAGAATTAGCCATACTGAGTAAGCAATAGTGAGTAAGGGCATTAAACAAGTCAACTTAACCCAACACAACCTACTCTTAATTTGCTGAAAAATAAGATAGATTGGATTTAACCAATTTTTTCATTGGATTGAAAATTTCAACTGAATCTAACCTATTGTGAGTTGCAGATTGGGATGACTCATCAACTTCTTAAGAAATTATAAATTATTTTATTTTATTTGTCTCATATTTTCTTCAAATTTTATGATCAAATATAATTTTAAAAAATAAATAAAATATTGTAAAATTGATAATAAATAAAATGATTCAAATGTTCAATTCAATGAGACATGTACTTAATGAGTCAATCAATAACAATAAATAAAGTTCATCAACAAGATTAAAATAAATTCACAATATAATTAAAAACAAGTTCATTAACAACAATAAAATAAATATACAATACAATCATAAATAAATGTTAATAAAAAAAATAAATTACAAATAAAATACCATGAATCAATGTCAAAATAGATGAAAGTTAAAGAAAAACATAGGTTAATCCAATGAAACAACCTAATTTATCATTTAACTCGTTGAATTGATAAGTTGTATATATTGAATTATGTGAGTTGAAAGATTGAGAAGTAAAATCTAACATATTTACATTTAGATGGATTATGTGGATTAACTTATTGAATTAAATTTATTTAACTAACATCCTTAATATTGAATAGTTAGGAAATGAACAAATGGACACTTATGGTGTGCTTGGGATAAGAAGAGAAATCGAACGAAATATAGAAGAGAATAGATTATATTTATCTTTCGAGTAATTTTCGCGACAATCCTCTCATCGTAGAAAGTAATTTTTTAACCAATGAGATGCACCTTCAATTCCACACAAATCCGTTCTCTCAAGTAGGGATGTGTTTTTTTTCTTTCTAAATACCATCTATTCCATCCCCTCCCCTCAAATACCCTCTATAGCAAGTTCCATGGGCAGTGTTAGTCTTGCCTCCCAAAAAAGAAAATAAGAACCGGAAAAAGTTAAAAAAGAAAAAAAAAATACAAACAAACAAAAACAAAACAAAACAAATGCACGGTCCCTAAGGTACTTCTATTGCTTTATTACAGGTCAAATAAATTCCCACAGAAATAAGGGATCAACACCACAGAGAAATCGGGAGCAAATTAACATATGGTATGGTGATTTCATAATATAAGGTTCAAAAACTACTAGTAGCCCAAGTCTTGAAATTAACTCCTCGTGGCCTTTCAGTAGCTCTGGATTGCAGTGTCAATTCACTTAAATTGAAGAAATTTTGAATTGGCAACACAAAGTCTACCATATTATTTACAAACATAACATGGTATATCAACTCTTGTTGGGAAATCAGAACGCAGTTGTGAAGATGGAAGAAAACGTCTGGGACATATTACCCACATCACTAGGAAACCCTTGTCTTTTGTTAACATGCCATTTGTCTTAAGTCTTTTGACATCAATCACCAATTAAGATTTCATGTTTATGGTTATAGTCTTACGGACCTCAGAACCTGCAGGAACATTAAATCCGTAACACGTACTAAACGGGATAACCATTGACTTCTCTTAACTGATGAAATCTCAATCATATACTAGCTAATGTGTGGCTTCTAGCTCCCAAGCCAAATTATAAGTTAAAAAAAAAAAAAAAAAAACACTCAACTCACTACGAATAACCCTTATATATATTTTTTCATCGGTAAAAAAAAATTATTAATAAGTAGGCACTAAAAATATCAAGAAGTATAAAGATAATTAACACACTCTAATAAATGATAAATAAGAAATATCAATTCTCTCAAACAAGTCTAAAAAATGTTTAAATTACATAAATTCAGGTGAAATTTTGTCATTAACTAAAGGAGTATGTGAAGTCCTTTGTCAATTCCTTAAAAAAAAATCCTACTTTATAAGCCCATGAGAGCAAGGATAATTCATGTTTATATAAATTACCAAATTTTAAGTAATAATCATGACTAGTAATACAGTAAAAACTATGAAAACTAAAGTAAAATGATTATGGCCTAGTTATATAATGAAACTTTTTGATAAATATTATAAATAAAAAAATAAAATAAGAAGGTAAAATGAAATAATTTATTTATATATTAAAATTAATTTACTTATAAATTTATCAAATATTAAAAAAAATTAAAATTGATTTTAATTTAAGTATAGGATAACTTTAACTTATTTAAAAAAATGAGAATTTTTATTGAAAAATTGATCAAAACATCTTAGTGGTTAAAGTTTAGAAGGTTGGGAGGCCCACAGAATCTTTGTGTAGCTTGCAAATAGGGCGCGAGTGCGCGACAACCTGATCCAGGGCATTTTGCGATACAGGACTCACGAGGCCAGCAGAATAGCTAGAAGACACGACATGTTTGAGGGATACCATAGTAGAACTTACAGGATCTTATCATGAAAAGGATCCTCAAAGGTTATCTTTCAATCCACAAAATAGCTAAATATGCAGTAAGCACATGCAGTAAAGAAATGGGAATTTAATTTCTCGTACATGACGTGGGGTGACCACATATCGCATATCAATTAGTCATTAATCATAGTAGTAAAACATTCTACCATTCATATGTCATGTGTGGATATGTTAGTGAATCTAAGTACATATCCTAACTTAAAATTAGATACTGCTGCTGGGCTAAGAATATCTTTGTAAAAATCATAGAAATTAGATTATTTTAATAATTAATTACATGTGTTATATTTATAAAAAAATTACATGTATTATTATTATTGCTATAATCAATTATAATTAAAATGAACTTTTTTTTTTGTACATAAATAAACTCGTGTTTGGATTAGTATGTCAAAAAACTATTTGAAATATGAGATTATAGGTACTTAAAATTCATTTAAATATTTAATTTCTTTTAACAACAGAAAATATTTAAAAAATTTACAGAAATGCATATCTTTGGAGCAAAATTATAATGAATAAAGAATATTAAAATTTTCAAACATTTGAAAAAAGAAAAATTGGTTAAATTGACGCGATTCTTTGTGCTAACGAGTTTCTGCAACGTACAAATAATTTGAACATTTGTGGAATTACATATTCGTAATTCGTATACACGGAGACCCAAAAGTTAAAAGATGAATGAAAGGGAAATCAGGGACGGTGAACACTGTGAGGAGTAGCAAACGTTTTGACTATTATTTTGTTTATTTTGTTTTTATTTCGCATCGGGGTGGGTGGTGGTGATGGAACTCTTTTTGACGCTAAGCTTCTGACTCTGTACCTGAAGTCGATGCTTACTATCTTTTCTCCCTCATCACTATCATGGCCCGCACGTTGAAAACGACTTTCTCTCCCTGCATTCATCTTTCTGGACCCTCCTAACGCTATGGCTAATGCTTTTCCAGAACCTAGCCAAGCACAACATCGATCACAATTAATCTTCATCAATTGATAATAAATATATTATAAAAGTGAAACCCCATTTATATCAACTAATTAACTCTTACCATAGTAACCAAGTATTGCAGGGGCTTCTAGTGCCACGACAATGAATGTTAATAGTACTGCACCCATCAACTTCGTCCGAAACTGAAATACACCCATTAATGTGTTATCAAAACAATGTTGAACCTGTAAAATGCAAATCCTTGACTTTTGAAACCTCTGGGAAACTGGATTTTAAGATTTTATACCGGTGCCTCGTTCATCGTTCATTTTATTAGTCAGTGTCACATGGTCAATGGATGCTTCTACAAAAAGACAAATTGAATCATACCTGCTCCATATATATATAAGACAGTTTTAGTGTTTTACTAATTGAAAGTTGGCTTTGAGTCCGGGACAACAGCTATTTCATGATTTCAATAAGGAGGCCAGAAGGACACGAGTTGACTTGTCAATTAATCTATAAATGAGTAAATATTAAGTTTAGCTTTAGCTAGCTTGTTCCTTTTTCGGTCAATTGCTCAAACTACTTTGCTTCTATAGCTGATATTGATAAACAAGTATGCCAGAGAAGAGATATCCTTCTTTGTAACTTCCAAGTTATTACATATGTTATATATTAAATACTCTTATCCTCGCGCACGTGGTTAAATCTAAATAGATAATAAACACACAATTTGATCTCAAAAAAGAAATAACTTGAATGACTATTTGGTGAGTTCGTTTTTCGAGATTACAGTTGTCTCCAGTAATTTTTCTTTCATTTCTTGTACCGAATATTCTTTTAAAAAAAGTGAAATTGTACAAAATCACTTAATAACCTAAATCAATCTCTGAAAATCTAAACCCATATATCTCGCATTTGTAATTGTGATCTTTAATCAATATTTGGTCAGTTACTTTATCAAAAACTACATTAAATTGAACTTTTTAGAAAATCAAATTCAGTATTTACTCTAAAAGTTAATATCCTTGTGTTCTTACCGGAATTTGGCCGTAGAGGTGGTCCGTCCAGTAAGATCAGTGAGCCTCCTTCGCTGGTACGCTGGGTGTTCCGAGATGGGGTTGGTACCTGCAAAAGAGACTCCGATGCCAAAGTTAGTGTTTGTGGGAGTATGAATCTCGTATAAGTAATGCACGTACCTTAGTGTGAATTAGGCCTTTTTTGGGCCTTGGGCCTGAGATAAGATATGATAAGATCTTGAGATAAGATATATCATGATCGTAATGTGATATGATATGATATAATTGACGGGCAGATCTGATCTGGGGCAAGATCCTAGGAATCAGGTGTGATTCGTTCAGGTGTCGGGCTGACGTCACGCAACGCGTGTCCGAGGTCACCCTCTTGCATTGCTAATCCGGGCTTGGAGTTAAGATCGGGCTGACGTCGCGCAACACGTGCCCGAGGTCGCCTTATCGCTAACCCGGGCTGGGAGCCCGGGTGCGAAGTACGGTTAGTACACTAGCCCCTCAAGCTCCGAAGGCCGTAGGTCGAGGAGTTAAGACTAAGCTCGCTGGAGGGGAGTGACCTTTCGCGCATGTTTGCCTGTCAAGATGCCATGTGTTGTAACTGTCGCCTTGTTCTCGAGAACGTGCAGGTGGCGTGGTAACAAGATTGTATTTTTATCTGTTTGATGACGTGGCCTCTTTGGGCCGATGTGGTATTCCGATGTCCATGTTTCATGACCGAGCTGAGGAACTCGGCAATGATGAGTTTACTGCTTGGTCTGACTGGTAAACCTTTGATTGAGTCAATGGATTGGTGAGGGACAAGTCGGCAACTTGGCTGGCCAGTACACTTGCCCCCCAAGCACCGAGTGATGTAAGAGCAAAGGGGCTTCTAGGGAGCTCCCAAATTTGTTGTTTGAAGGTTCGAGTTCGACCTTGGTTAAGAAAGTATGATCTCAAGGTTCGGACTGGACCTTGGCATATCAAGGTTCGAACTCGACCTTGGTTAGGAAAATATGATCTCAAGGTTCGGACTCGACCTTGGCATATCAAGGTTCGAACTCGACCTTGGTTAAGAAAATATAGTCTCAAGGTTCGAACTCGACCTTAGGTGAGAGTATCGAGGTTCGTATTTTAGAACAATTTAATTAAGGTTCGATCTCGACCCTAGGTGAGAATAACGAGGTTCGTATTCGACCTCGGATAAGCGTACTTAAGGTTCGTATTCGACCTCAAATTTGAGTAGAACGATTTAATTAAGGTTCAATCTCGACATTAGGTGAGAATATCGAGGTTCGTATTCGACCTCGGATAAGCGTACTTAAGGTTCGTATTCGACCTCAAATTTGAGTGGAACGATTTAATTAAGGTTCAAACTCGACCTTAGGTGAGGATATCGAGGTTCGTACTCGACCTCATAATTTTAGGGAGGTTCGGACTCGACCTCGGATTTGAGTGAAATGAATGTATGAAGGTTCGAACTCGACCTTATATAAATGTATTGAGGTTCGTACTCGACCTCGTATAAATGTATTGAGGTTCGAACTCGACCTCATATAAACGTGTTGAGGTTCGAACTCGACCTCATATAGACGCGTTAAGGTTCGAACTCGACCTTATGCGGGGACACCGAGGTTCGTATTCGACCTCGGATGAGCATGTTAGGGTTCGTATTTGACCTGAAATTGGGGTAGAGCGATTATATGAAAATAATAAGAACATGGATCGAGACATATGAGTCGTTTTATTCATTGTGTCTATGTGTCTCGTTAAAAACCCTTTCAGTCGAAGACTGAGGCGGGAAAAGAGTGCACGACTTATTCATACAAAATTGACTGGAATGAAATTTAAGAGAGACTATGGAGGTCGGTCCTTAGGCCGAGATCAGTGACTTCCCTGCGGGTGGTGCGAGTTGCGGTGGGGGGATCCCCCTTGCCTTGCTTGCTGGACGAGGAGACCTTTAGGCTTTCGGCGTAGCACTGCCGAACCGTCTTTTGATTAGCTTTGACGAAGATGATTTTACCGTCCTGTCCTCAAATAAACGTGTTGAGGTTCGTACTCGACCTCAAATGAACGCGTGGAGGTTCGTACTCGACCTCAAATAAACGTGTCGAGGTTCGTACTCAACCTTATGTGAGAAGTCCGAGGTCCGTATTTGACCTTGGTTTTGGTTTGTATTCATCTTCGGGTTTGAGTGGATTGATTTGGTTAACTTTTGGATTCGACCTTTACGAAGGCGTCGGGGTTCGTACTCGACCTCGAATTTGAGTAAACGATTCAACTAAGGTTCGAACTCGACCTTAGGTGAGAGCGTCGAAGTTCATGTTCGAACGAGGTTCGGATTCGACCTTCAGATTTTGAGATAGGCGATTTTGTCAAGGTTCGAACTCGACCTTTCACGAGAGTGCCGAGGTTCCTGCGCAACCTCGGTTTCGGCTTGTATTCGGCCTGGAACTTTGAGCAGCGTGATTTGACTGAGGTTTGGACTCGACCTTGAGCGAAAGTATCGAGGTTCGAATTTGACCTCGGATGAACGTGTTCAAGGTTCGTACTCGACCTCGATTTGAGATAAGTGAAGGTTCTGATTCGACCTTTAACGAGGGCGTCGAGGTTTGTACTCGACCTCGGATTGACGTTTTGGAGGTTCGTACTCGACCTTAAATTTTCGTGTTGAGGTTCGTACTCGACCTCACGTTTGAATGAATTGATTTGACTGAGGTTTGGACTCGACCTTGAGCGAAAGCATCGAGGTTCGAATTCGACCTCGGATGAACGTGTTCGAGGTTCGTACTCGACCTCGATTTGAGATGAATGAAGGTTCTGATTCGACCTAAAATTTGAAATAGATTATTTACTTAAGGTTTGAACTCGACCTTTAACGAAAGTGTCGAGGTTCAAGTTCGACCTCGGATTTAGGCAAATTGATTTGGTTAAGGTTCGGACTCGACCTTTAACGAAAGTGTCAAGGTTCGCATTCGACCTTGGAATGTCGAGGTTCGGACTGCACCTAAAATTTGAGATAGATTATGTAATTAAGGTTCGAACTCGACCTTTAACGAAAGTGTCGAGGTTCAAGTTCGACCTCGGATTTAGGCAAATTGATTTGTTTAAGGTTCGTACTCGACCTCATAATTTTAACGAGGTTCGTTCTCGACCTCGGGTAAGAATGTTTAAGGTTCGTACTCGACCTCATAATTTTAACGAGGTTCGTTCTCGACCTCGGGTAAGAATGTTTAAGGTTCGTACTCGACCTCGGAATTTTAACAAGGTTCGTTCTCGACCTCGGATTTTGTGTGTTTGAGGTTCGTACTCGACCTCAAATTTGAGTAAAATTATTTTTATTAAGGTTTGAACTCGACCTTGGTTAGTCGTCACGTTTAATGTGCTAATACCGAAAATGTATGGGAATGGAGTTGCTTTGCTGATTATTTCTGAGGTGTGCCTTGTTAAAACCTTCCTTGGCCAAGAAACCTTTTCTTTAGTGGGAAAAGAGGCTGAGGAGGAAAAAGAGTACATCACCTGAATTTACAAGTTAAGAGAAATAAAAATTGAGGTGGGTGACATTCCAAGTTCCGAATTTCCCTTTGGAGGGATCTATTCTTGCCTCTCTCACCCCACCAAATTAACAAGGTCGCCAACTTTAAGTGTTTGTGGCCTGACCTTGGTCTTGCTTTCCTTGTGGTTTTCCGCGAACCTGGTCGCGGAAGGCGGAGTGTTCTTCCATCTAGATGTATCCAGCAGCACGAGCGCATAGCTCGTCCATGTCGCGAGGAGCTTCGCGACATAGGCTGTCGACAAACGGTCCGGGCTTGAGTGCCATGAGCATGGCGTGTAGGGCGACCTCGGGATTCAAATTTCAAATTTTCACCGAGATGCTGACGAAGCGTTCCATGAACGTCTGTAGTGGTTCGTCATCGCTCTGTCTAAGGCTGGCCAGAGCAGCTGGCGTCATGTGATGAGGCCGACTTGTCGCATACTGCGTTGTGAACCGTCTGACCAGGGTGCCGAAGCTGTCAATTGACTCGGCGGGTAGCTGGGTATACTAGTTGAGTGCAGCCCCCTTGAGCGAGGTTGGAAAAACCCTGCACAGTATAGCATCCTCATTAGTATAGAGGTTTACCTGGGTGGTGTATAGATCGATATGCTCGTCCGGGTCGGTTGTGCCGTCGTAGCGGTCGAGGTGGAAAGGCTTCCATCCAAAGGGGAGAGGTGTCTCCATGATACCGTCCACGAAAGGATGGCGGCGGAAGGTCGTCTGATTCCCCGTGGGGGCGTTGCTGACGTTGTGCGTCGACCTGTTCGTCGGCGCGTGAGACCGATGTGTGGGAGGCTTGGGAGTCGGTGCCCTAGCCGCTGTTGGCGGTTGTGAAACCGAGTGCCCTTCGTCCTCATTCAGGTTACTATGCGGAGGGGGTTGATCTGAGGGATGCCGAGGGAGTTGGGTGCGAATGCGCTCGTTCCCGGCGCGTAGTGCTGCTAGGTCGGCTTCATTAGTGGTACGTATTGCCGCTAGATCAGTTTCGTGCTTGGCACGCATGCTTTGTAGGTCGGCAGCGTGTTTTTTCCGCATCTGTTCGACTTGGTCGATTAACCTTCTCAAGGTTGCAGCGTCACTGTCCATGGTAGTTGAGTGATTTGCGTCATCTGTCGCGCGTCTACTATGGCTTCTGGTGAAGACCATGAAGGTGGCCGATAAGAGCTGTCTTGATCGGCCCCACGGTGGGCGCCAAATGTTCTTACCGGAATTTGGCCATAGAGGTGGTCCGTCCAGTAAGATCAGTGAGCCTCATTCGCTGGTACGCTGGGTGTTCCGAGATGGGGTTGGTACCTGCAAAAGAGACTCCGATGCCAAAGTTAGTGTTTGTGGGAGTATGAATCTCGTATAAGTAATGCACGTACCTTAGTGTGAATTAGGGTTTCTTTGGGCCTTGGGCCTGAGATAAGATATGATAAGATCTTGAGATAAGATATGATAAGATCTTGAGGTAAGATATGATAACATCTTGAGATAAGATATATCATGATCGTAATGTGATATGATATGATATAATTGACGGGCGGATCTGATCTGGGGCGAGATCCTAGGAATCAGGTGTGATTCGTTCAGGTGTCGGGCTGACGTCACGCAACGCGTGTCCGGGGTCGCCCTCTTGCATTGCTAATCCGGGCTTGGAGTTAAGACCGGGCTGACGTCGCGCAACACGTGTCCGAGGTCGCCTTATCGCTAACCCGGGCTGGGAGCCCGGGTGCGAAGTACGGTTAGTACACCTTGCAACAGTAATTTTTTTTAACCATATTATTTATACAAAATATATAAGGATTTTATTTATAATTAATTCTTGATGAATAATTTAATTGATCATTTTTAATAAAATTTTCTCTTTTAAAATATTTTTTTTTATTCATGAAAGTCAAATTCGAGACTTTATTAAACTAGTTGGCATGAGCTTTCCATCTCCCAACACAACACATATTTTAAGGGAATTCCTCTCTGGTTGAAAAAAAATAACTACAGGGCTTGCAGTTTAATCTTCCAGCAGTGATTTTATTTGAATTATTGATAGTGTGTTTGGAAATACGTTTGTACACATTCTCTATCCACGTCCAACATAATTTTACGCAGAAGCTATTGTTTATTGCTTCCTATCAAACGTGATTTTTCACGTTTCTAACGCTAATACAAACACGCTATGAAATCCATGCAGTTTAAAGAAAACTGCAGAGGATCGTGATCCTATTTTAAGTTTTTAATCCATTGGATGTCATATATTTATATGGTTTCAACAGGTCTTTAATATAATTCTGACAACTCACATTCACTTGCGTGATACTGCTCTACATTTTAAATGGAAACCTCGTGCTGGTTATCGGGAAACTTGTCCTGCAATTTCTGTCTTCCTATGTTGACTTTGGAGCTTGGAATTTCGACGCTCAACTCACTTTACGGATGAATACAATAGCCACAGATGTAGTTAGTTAGTTACAGCAATAATCCATGTTTGTGCTCCCAATATAAAATCCGCATATAATGTAGCCAGGGCTCAAACAGATTTTGCAATTATCCCTATTCAGCGCCCGTTGGTTTTAGATTCCACCAACTAAAAACTAGAAATAAACGCATTGTAAAGCACTCCTAAGTGCTGACTCTTTTCTCAAAGCCACTATTCGTTGCTTAGTTTGACCCAAACAAACCTTTAAAAAAACTATCTTTACTCATACAGCTTAGAATATATTTTTGCATCCATCATTATGTGCACAAAAATGTGATTTAGTTGCTAGAAAAAGAAGGAAGAAGGAAAAGTGAAGAGTTGAGACAGGAATAAACACAAACAGTTGATAGGCACTAATGAGAGTAGGGCATCCATAGGTCGGGGTAAGATTTCAATGGACCGGGAAGTCGATTCTTCCAGTCCTGAAGAGGAGGCAAGTCCCCAGTAAGAGCAAGCGAGCTATCGTCCTTGCGATTCCCAAGGCTCATAACAAAAAGGCTCTCCCCGAAAACCTCTCGCATGGCCCTCAGAGTCTGGTGCATAACAACCTTCCCATCTCTCATCCTATTCTCGGCCTCCACGCAGCTCCCTCCCACGTTCACCATGATCCTCCCAGCCTTCTTCAGTCTCCCCCGGAGCTTCTGCCACGTGGCGGGGTCCTGAAGCTCGGGAATGAGGCTCCCCTTGGAGAACAAGTCCACCACGATTCCCGAGAACCCGTTGGGGACACTGGCGTCCAGCGCGTTCCCGACGTAGATGAAGAGCCGCTCCTTATGGTCCCGCTCGAGCCGGGCGAGGTTGAAATACTCGCGGGCGACCTGGAGGACGGCGGGGTCGAGCTCCCAGGCGTGGAGGACGGCGGCGGGGTGGAGGTCGAGGAGGATGCGGGCGGCGGTGCCGGCGCCGAAGCCGAGGAGGGCGAGGGGGCCGGGGGGGAGGAGGGGAGGGAGCGTGGCGAAGACGTCGAAGTAGGTGTTGGTGAGGGTTTTGAAGAGGAAGGAGATGCTGTGGATGTTGCCGGGGGCGTCGAGAAGGAGGAGGCGGGAGCCACGGAAGGGGTGGTCGGCTTTCCTCGAGACTTCGAGGACGCGGATGTGGTTGTGCCGCGACTTGAACTTGGCAAGGATTTTCACGTCCTCCGCGGGGATGCCGTCGTCTTGGGTTTTTTGTTGCTCACATTTTGGTGAGAGGGAGATTCTGGTTGGTGGACGTGGTGGTGGAATTGAATTGCCAAGGAACATTGGCGTTTGGATTTGCGCCCAACACACTTTCGTCCACATCCCACCCAATGGATTCCACCTGCAAATTTCCAACCTTTTATATCTTCTCCTTCAAGCCAGTAGTAGGAGTTAAGACTAGATGTTTGAAATTTTATATTTTATTTTTATTGTCGTTATTGTAAAATAAACAATAATGTAATTTTTTTTTTAATCTCATAATAAATTCTGTTTTAAAAAATAAGCCTCAACATAAATGTCAATATTATTTTTTCAATCTAATATTAATTATCTTTTTTTATTAATATTTTTCATTTTCTTAATAAAATAATTTTGTGTTGCGTCACTTTTATTTCACCTATTTAATAACTTTTTTGTCTTTATCTTTATAATGGATCTATTCAATGGGAAAAAGTTAAATCTTCTAATTATACATAAAATAAAATAAATAAATAAAATAAAACATAAAATATTAAAAAAAAAAAATAATCCTCACAAACAGTGAGGTATCTCTTTATAAAGATTTTGACTATGATTAATATGGTATATTTGATTTAGTTTTGACATCATTCGTTTAGAAACTAATATTAAAAATAATGTTTCATAAGTAAAAATTAAAAGAATTATTTGTTATAATAAAATATTAAATACCATTATTTATCAAAATTAAGTAATTAATTGATTTTTTAATTGTTATGCAAGTCTCATTGTCTCTCATGAAGAGACTTATTTTATTCTTTTTTTGTTATCTAGTGTCATTATGCATAGTAGAAGGACTACTTTTTTTTTACGAAAAATTTTGCATCCTCCAACTGAATCGACTAAATCGTATTCTAAATAATTAAAAAATTAATTCAAATTATAAAATATTAAATTAAATAATTATTTAATAATAAATCTATTAAAAAATATTAATATTATAAAAGTTTGGACTGTATTTTCCATTCCAAATTCGAAGGATATAGCAATCCTCCTTTTTTATATACATAACATTTGCCTTTTATCTCTAGCAGCTTCACATGCTGGCTTTGTAAAAGCAGCATTGACACTGTGTGGCAGAGTGCCACCTGAGGTGAGGCACGTGCCTCTATCTCTGGCAGCATCACTTGCCAATTAAAAAATGTTAAAATATGTTTTATAAATAATTAATATATATTTATATTAAATTAGTTTAAAATGTTATTTAATTTAAATATTTACTTTGCAATACTTTTATTAATGTTTATTTTTTTTATTATGTAGTGTCGTTGTCTCTGGAACTAGTTCTATTTTTTTTTGTCTAGTTTCATTATTCGGTAAGAAGGGACATTTTTAAAAAAATTATTAATGGGTGATGTTGACCTCTATTAAAGTTTTTACATAAATCATTCATAACATTTTAAGAATATTGTGGATGTTTGTTTTTAAGATTGGGTGGTAATGATATAATAATTTTTTAAAAAATTAATTATTTATTGATAGTTTTAATTTGTTTACTATTTTTCTTTTATTTTATTTTTTTGCAGATACATTACTAGGATGTTATAGGTCATATTATGACTTTTATTTATACTAAAATTTTAGAAGGTCTAGAAAGTATTATATTTAATAGTCCAAAAAATGAATGTATATTAAACATGGTATATCTTTAAATGTTTTGAAAAAAGGTTTCGCAACAAACTTTGTATTGGATATGATCAAGTTATATTATCTATATAACATCATATTTTAGTTGGAAATAAATATGAAGTTATGGAATTGAGCGATAGACAAATTTCAAAGCCAAACAATTATGTCAATAATGAAATTATACGCTGAAATCGATGTCGAAGGGGCTTCTTTAATTTCATTACAAAATCTGACACTTTGTCCCATTAATGAACAACAATTTCAATGTTCGCCAAATATGTCAAGAGGAGAAGATGAGAATGATAAGGACGATGAAAACTATCATGTTTCTCTTTCATTTCAGAGCGGAGATGAATCAAGTGAAGATCAAATAGATGATTGTACATAATTTGATGACACTGTTGTTGAACCAATTGATGTGGTTCATTTTGAGAAAGGAAATATTTTAAATAAAAATTGTAATTGTTATTAAATTTTAATTTTTTTATTATTGTTGGTTGTAACGAATGGAAGTCAATTTTTAGGTAATTTACCTCATTATACAAACATAAAATGGAGTTACCTGAATCATGAAATTATGGGAATGAAATTGTAAAATACTTGGTCAATTGGTGATGATTTATATGTCGGTCTTGAATTTGAAAATAAAGATGTTATGAAAAACACGGTTAAGCAAAATAAGATAAGAATGCATCAAAGTTTTATGTGGTTGAATTTAACAAAAAAAAAAAGTGGATTGCTAGATGTCTAAATGCAAATGACAATTGTGAATAGTACATGAGAAAAATTGAGTCAAAAAAATTGGGTTGCTAAAAAATGACTCAATGGGGTAGACGACATACTTGTTTAAATATGTCCTTATCACATGATCATGCAAAGTTAGATTCAGACTTGATATCACCATTCATAGTTTCACACAAGGTAAGTTTTGTTGTAAAGTTCATTTTGTATTTTCATATATTGAAATATGAGTCACTAATAAACATTCTAATTAGGAATGGTGAACCAAGATTCCTCCATCAAGATTAGCCTTGTCCAAGAAATGATGACATTGCAGACTGCGTTCAAAATTTCATACAAAAAGGCTTAGGTGACAAAACAATAGGCAATAATTAAAATATTTGGTAATTGGGAAGATTCGTACGCTTCTCAACCAAGATGGCTTAAAAACATGAAAGAAATTGTCCCTAAGTCTCATTACGATTTATGTTATGATGATTTTTTCGTTGGTAATCATCATTATGCATATTTTTGTCAATTTTATCACCTTTTGGGGACATACAAGCCTTGTTATGATGCCTTCAATTACTTCTAGTCATTGATACAAATTGATGGCACACATTTGTAAGTACAAGGGCACACTTCTAATTTCCACAACACAAGATGGTACTAACAATGTTCTACCTCTTGCCTTTGTTGTTTTTGAGGGGGAAACTTTGCATGCATGGTCATGATTTTTGGCTCATTTGCCAACACATTAATAATTGATGTGGTATATGTCTAATCTTTGATCGACATCACAATATAAAGTCTACTATTGATAATGAGGCACTTGGGTGGAGACTTCCTCATGCTTATCACAAGTATTGTATACGCCATATTTCTAGTAATTTTAACCATTTTCAAGGATCCCAAACTAAAAAGCAACTGATGAAGTTAGGTATGAAGTTACTAATGTAAATTTTCTTCCATTTTGTTTGTTTTATATTTATTATTTGTGAATTTCAAGTTACACCCCATGCAAACACATATTTTATTGAAACTTTGAAAAAATTTGTGAGACGAATCTTGATGTTCAAAGGTGGATTGAAAGGATATCAAAAAACAAATTGTCTATGGTATATGATGCAGATGGACACAAATATGATCACATGACGAAAAACTTATTTGAATGTGTGAATAAGGTTTTAAAAGGAATGTAGATATATTCTTATCATTGCATTAGTGTGATCGACAAATACCATATGTATGGAGTATTTTAGCAAGTAGTTAATTGTGTCATAGTCGAAGTGTCTTTAGGTAAAATTTTATGTCTCTAAGTTAGTTGAGGCCTTGCAAAAAAATTAAGAAGAGACTTGTTTCCACTAGGTTCACAGATATGTCATTCATGTATCAAAGTTTGAGGTCAAGGAGACATTGGATCCATGTACACAAAAGGGGGTGGGGTAAAAAATGGATAGTGAATTTAAATGAATGTTATTGTCAGTGCGGTTGTGATTAGTGTTGACTGACCTTGGGGGATTTCTAGAACACCCATATTGTTGAGGAGAATACTAATAACTTGAGTGCGAATGTGAAGGATAAGAATGATCTTGAGAAAGAGTGTAGTACATCCCAAGTTATCTTTCTAGAAGACCAGGGTAATTGTATTCAACAGGCTTTATTGCTCTTCTTCTTCGTTGAACTCCCCTTCCTTCCCTAGATGATGGGGGGACAACTATTGGTTCAACCTAAACCCTATTACCCGCAGGTGGAGTTGGCAAGGCAAATTCTATAAAATGAGCATGCTCATCAATTAACATGAGCACTTTGTTAGCTTCTACTGCTAGGTTCTCCATGAAAAATAGTATTGGCCATAAAGAGATGACATAAATGTCAAATATTCAGTTACATTACTTTGTTGCATAAAAATAAATACAAGTTAGTCCAACATGCACAAATAATGTAATAATATTTATAATAATAATTAAATTAATATAACTAATATACCATCATTGACACAATCGCATCATCAAGATTAATTCGTAGTTTATCCTTGCGTGAATACCATCTCATATATTGAGTTTGGATTTAGTAATCCAATTTGAGGTGCAATGCGAGTAAAGTGCAAGCTAGCACGATCTTTCCATTGACATAGAGCTGGCCTTAAAGTCCTAATCCAATGGTCATTATGTTTACCACACAAGGTTATCACATGGGCATTTGTTTACGGTTTAAAGGTCTTGAGGTATAGGTTGTTGATAATCGAATTGTCTAATTACTCTATTTGGTTGATGTCACTCACAACGAATAAGAGAAATAAAGGGACATACAAACCCCCAAATATGACACCTTTGAGTGCAATCCACAAGCATCAAGCTATCATCTCCTTGGAGTATGGTTGTCAATTTATCTAAAAAATAATAAATATTATATACTTGTAATCAAATAATTGTTTTTATTTAAAAAAAATAAAACAAAAAAAATACTTACATGTTTTCACTTCATCAAGTCAAATTGTTTACGGTAATATTTCAAGTCATTTCATTTATTTATTCCATGACTTATGCTTGACCATCTAAAATAAAATGAATTTGTTAGATTCAAAACCAAGTTAACATAACATAAATTTTTTAGTTTAACATATAAGACGCTAATATACCCTATACAGCAAAATGGAAACCAAATAATAAGCCAAAATTGAAACAAAAAAAAAAATTACCTTCAAAGCTACATGTTGAATATCATATACAAAAGCGATCTACAAGAAAAAGAAAAGAAAATAAATAAATAAAACATGCAAATGGTAT